TTCCCTGGTTCAGCCATCTACTGTAACACAAACCAAAGCGGTTCAGCTATCACGTGGGAACGACATTCCAGTGCAGGTTTAATGGTGGACAGTAATGGATTAGTGCCACCTTGAGGCCAACTGACATTTCTGCAGGATCAGAAATGAGTTCATTACCAAGAAGGTTTTCACATGCAAGAAACCTGCCTTGGTATTTTGGTGCATAGAATAATAATAATCTTTATTTGTATAGCACCTTTCATACAATAAGTGCAGTTCACAATTAACACAGCAAGAACAAATGTAAATATTACTTGCAACGGCAAGAATCATATATATATATATATGAAAGAAAACTACAACCATTTTAATTGAATTATATCTGATCCAGGGACGTGCACAGACATTTGGTGGGGCTATTGCTCTAAACTGGAAAAAGGGCCTCCCCCCGAAAAAAAACATAAGACCTTTAGAAAATTGTAACTTGTTTTTAATGTAAAAGAAACCAAACGATTATTACATCAACTAAATTGAACGGTAAGTCACATCTCATAACAAAATAAGCTAAGGCGACTACTTGCATTCGGTGACTTGATTTTAAAAATGAAAACCAGGGACATTTTTTGTTTTGCGGTCCATATCTCATTAAAATATCTAATGTTAGTAACTATTAAAGACAAAATGGGGACAATTCTGTTCTAATGTAGTTTGACCATTGTAACTGCTGTGCAGACATACTGATAAAATAGGGCCTCTAACTAATTACCTTAAATAAACTCACTAATTCATGAAACCAGTTCAATATGCATTATTCTTATTCTTATCATTCTTTATGAGCGCAGTAACGTTAAGGTATCTAATTACTTATTTATTTAGTATTCCATAACTTAATAACAGAGATGGTCAAACTAAAGTTGTAGAGACATGGCAGAAATCCTACAATGAAGCGGGACATTGAACTGTTCACCCGTGAGAGGGCGATCAAGAGAAGAGAGAGAGGGCGAGGGAGTTTACAGATGAAAAGACACAGAAAGACAGAAGCACAATAACAGTAGGCTATATTTAGGTGTTTTTTTGTAAATAACCGAGGGTATAAAGAGGAAGTAAAGTCCCCTGGTTTGTCCCTTATACCCTAACTGCCATAAGACAACTCAAAATCAAGTTTCCAAAATCCGACACTGAGATGGTCTTAACGCACCGGAAGATGACAGCGCTGACAAAGGGTGTTTCCCGCAGCGAGACGCTACATTACTAATTGTGGGCTTATCATGTTGATTCGGCCACAACAGACAAAATAAAAACCAACTCTCGCTCTCTCCAGAGGGGCAGGTCAGCCAAAAAGGCCAAACNTAAAGTGGTAGAGACATGGCAGAAATCCTACAATGAAGCGGGACATTGAACTGTTCACCCAAGGCGATCAAGAAAAGAGAGCGAGCGGCCCCATTGAGGGAGTTTAAAGAGGAAGTAAAGTCCCCTGGTTTGTTCCTTATACCCTAACTGCCGTGAGAGAACTCAAAATCAAGTTTCCAAAATCCGACACTGAGGTGGTCTTAACGCACCGGCAGATGACAGCGCTGACAAAGTGTGTTTCCCGCAGCGAGGCGCTACAATACTAATTGTAGGCTTATCATGTTGATTCGGCCACAAAAAAAAAAACTAAAAGAAACTCTCGCTCTCTCCAGAACGGCAGGTCATCCAAAAAGGCCAAACAGGCTGTTGCCCGGGCAACATTAGCCCGTACCTGTGCACGTCCCTGATCTGATCTATTTAATTATTTCCACAGCTCACAAAGTGATGTATGAATTTGCTGCAGGTGTTTCAAGAGAGCTGACATTTAATTTGTTTTGAATAGTGACTTATTATACAGTATGTCTCTCTTCTGTTCTGCAGGACTCTGGAGAAGAACAAAAAGAAAGGAAAGATCTTTTAAAGACGGCAGGACCACCCCAACCCGAGTTATTTTGTTTGCCAACGTTGCCGGTCAGGACACCAGTGTGGCACTGACTCCCCCCTCCTTCTCTTCTCTCTCCCTCTACCTCCCTCCCTCCCTGCCCCACTTGTCCCCTGTCCCTGCTCTGTCTGCCAGCCCAGCTGTGCTCCTGCTCTCAGCCACTAGAGGGGGTACTGAGGGAACCCTGGGTATGTGAGGAGGTGGGGGGGGGTCTGAATGTGCGTCAGAACCGCCACCACAGAGCCCCCTCTCTCCCTCGGGACTCATCAAAGGGTAATAAAAACATCCCCATTTCAGAACGGCCAAACCCATATTATTTTTATTATTATTATTGATGTTATTATTATTATTATTGTTGTTGTTATTATAACTGAATACTGTCCCCGCCCCTACCTGCTGCTCTCTCTTATTTCCACCCCAAGGTTGCTTTTAATGACTGATGTGTACATTTTGATGGAGAGCACAGACAAAAAAAAAACGTATGAATCCTGTCTGGCTGTTGTACAATCAAGTTCTAGTGAATTTATTCGTTTACAAGAAAAACTTAAGTAACAGTATTTGAATATTACCCTGCTCTTCCTTCGCGTATTAAGGTAGGAGGAGGATAAGGCATTAACTAATCCTTTTTATTTTGAGTGTATCTGATAACCCTTTAACCCAGTCAATGCAATATAAATTAAATGGTGTCAACAGAAACAAGCTAAATTCAAGAAAAACAATAAAACGCACCTTGGGCTTTTTTTTATAGATAGACAAAAATGGCTAAAGCTACTTTGTTTTGAAATGTAACGCTTTGTTTTTTCTCTATGTTTAGCTATTTCCACTAGCCTTGGACCACCATTTATAATGTCATAAGTGTTATATTTCATTTTAGTTTATTTTTATATATACCGAGCCAACTGAAGACATAACATCTTTTGTATGTTTAGAAAACCCCTCAGAGACTTGAGAGCTGCGTCGACTGTTGATCCATGAACGCTTTTACAAGAAAAATATGTCAATCACTCAGCGGTATCGATCTGTGGGAAATGAAGAGTCAACACCGCAAATTTGCTTTGGCTATGTACTCCATCTCTGTATTTTTAATTTTATTTTTCATTTGTATTGTACAAAGTCACTTAATAAACCTGTGATGACGATGAAGAGTGATATGGGTTTATTATGGAAACTGTTTGTGAGGTGATCACACTTTTTTTGTTAAAATAATACTGTTTACTGATGCATTTAACACTCAATTTAATTTCAACACTAGATGGCACCGCCTAAAGGTGAATTATTTTAATGGCACAACGACAAACTGAACTTAACACATAAATAATGTCAGACTAAATTAAAGTAGGAAAACAAAGCAGATCTTCAATGTTCTGTGCAGCTCAGTGGGCTCCTGCAGGGGTGAGATCAGCTGTTAGTGTCCACTGACATTTTCCTTCAGCTTGTTTATGTCACTATGTAACACACCTTGATCCTCAAAGCTCCTTTTGCCCATTAGACCCACAAAGGTTTGGAATCTATCTCCTGGCAATGAAAACATCCGATTAAACAACTGCAGTGTCGCTTTAGAATTGTAAACACATCTACAAAGAACAATGTATTGACTAAGCACCTTTAACTAATACTCACGTTTACGTGTTTTCTGTGTTTTTGCTGTTTTGAGGAGAGGAGAACAAATCAGACTTGATAATATAAATACAGTAGATATACATCTATACTAATTCCGATACCAGAGTTTTTCTTCCCCAGGAGATATTGGCGTGTTCCTGGATTTCTTCTCGATAGTATGGCTCGAATAACTTCAGAGTTTGGACATTTGTTCTTTTATAGAGACAAACATAATGCAAAAAACAATATTAAATACTGCTTGATTATATGAATCTCTGCATAACAATACTATTAGATTTTATACTTCAAAGACAAAAGACAATCATTATTATTGTTCAAATTGTATGTGATGCTGTGGTTCCTTTTCCATACATCATTTGGTATACTCTGGTATAGAAATGGGTTTTTCAAATAAGTTTTATAAGTCTTACCTCTTCGATGTCTTCTTTCTATTTGTCAACATCCATTTCTTGACAGAAAACATTTGTAAGAAGCAGCACACACACTACAACAAGTTTAACTAGTTCCATAATATCAATCCCTGCGTAATTTCAATGAAATTCGTCTGCGTAAAAACCTAACAATTGGATTTACAGATAATATTTGATACGTGTGTTCAGGTAGTCTGCACCTCGAGGCTGGATTGTTTCTGAATCCTCATTTGCGGTGATGCGCGATTATGCCACGGGATTTTAACGCATAAGGTCTTTTACGCACAGCTGGAGTGGATGATGTGGGTCGACTCCGCCAATTATTCTGAGTCACATGCTTCATTTTGAATCATATCTTTGACTGTGCTTAACTTTTGTTTGCCTGATGCCCCCTCTCAGAGTGTAATATAGCGTGTTAGATATGATTGCATTATGCATATTACACAGTTTGAAAAGCATTTTAATGTAGCTGGTCGAAAATAAAATGACTGCTTTACACTGATGGGTATTTAAATGTAAAAATCACACTAGCGTAATATTTCATTCATTATATATGCAAGTTTAGCCATCATTTCAACAGTTTAGTTTCATTTTCAACAGCAGTCCCTGATTTTAAGAAGTAGCCTATTCTATCCTACGTTAGAAGAAAAAAAAATCGGATATATGCCGAATGTATCATTGTATGAGAATGGAGTAATGGCAGTTGTGTTATAATTATTGTATTATGATGCTTAAATGTTTTTTGTTGTGCACGGTCACATGATGAATTCGACATTTAAGTGATATAGGCTACACACAATATTGCAGAATAAGACTGTTTTACAACATAGTTGAATACATTAGCCGATAGAGATTTTCTGAGACTATTTAACACCATATGTTTGCTCAAGGCATTAAGGGTCCCTGTGAAGTTTATCCAAAATGTGAATAATCCGGATTAATTTGGCGACCAATTGAGATCGCGTTTTCGAGTTTTTTAAGGCCGCGTGTCCCCGTTGGGCCACCGTAGACAGCAGCACGGCCCGCCTCCAACTCAAAAATCAGTGAGTGGATAATATTAGGAAGTCCGTCAAGCCATGATCAGAAAGAGTCAGCATTCTGACCTTTGACACATAGATACAATCTGTTAAAAAAGTATGTTTGGCTCATAGACTATTTGAGTTCACAGCCACTCGGCGTGAGCAGAACATGGTTTTGTTGCGTCCAAAGCCCTCAATGTTGTGGCTCGTTGCTGTTGTTCTGACAGCTCATGTGAGTGAAGCTGCAGGGAAACCGAAACTGATCGAGGATGGGGCGGCCTGTGAGTCCATGGACTCGGCGGCGCTCAGCCTCCGGTCCAGTAAAGCCTCCTCCCCGGACGGCCCGGAGCCAGGAGACCCCGCCGCCGCCTTCAGGGTCGCCACTCTGGATGGGGAGTTCTCTTACGAGCCCGGTGCTCAGCGGGGTCCTCTCATCATCCACGCCTTCTCCAACAAGTCTGCCTTCCTGGAGTGTCTGTGGAGCTCGGAGTCGTCCCTGAGCAGCCTGGTGGAGGAGCTCCCCGTCAGCAGCCAGGTGCTCTTCCTGTCGCTGGACGACTCCGCGGTCAGTGACGCTCTGTGGATGAGGGAGCAGCTGCAGAGGGTCGCCATGCGCAGGTGACCCGGGACAGACCTCTGCCCTAGGGCTCTGCCCTGCCCTAAAGCACAGTGATGCGGGGATGTTTTATATATCAAGGGAAGACTGTACAAGTGAACAGATATATTTAAAAAATATATGTCTGATTATTTGTGTGAAATAGGCAACATCATCCGTTGCAAACATTTCTGAAATATAATTCTTAACCAAAATTATGTTTTTCTTTGTTAAAATTATATAATATAGAGTAAAAGGTTTTTACAGATGGAATTATGGATATCTCTATACAACTCAGAGAAGCATAACAAAAATGATGTCTATGTTTTAAGGAATACAAATATTTGTATATAAATCAGACTATTAATATATGAACAAACCCCCACTGTTAACACATTTAGAACATAGATATACAAATGTTGTGCTTGTTAAGGCTACTAACGTGTATAATTCTGACTCAGAGTATGATAAAAGTAAAATTCCACACATTTTGTGACAATAGAACGTGGAATAATATGTATTACCATGATACAGCCTCAATTAACGACTTCTATAAAGACTATTATTTTTTCAGGGTGTAGTTTATCACAAATGTCAGTTAGCTCAACCCCAACATATTGGTAACCACTTTGACAAACCACGTTTAACATCCTGCCTGTTTCTGCAGCAATAAGGAGGTTCTGTCCAGGCTGCACTTTTCTCCGGTGCCGGTCTTCGCTCTGGGGAACTGGATCCCCAATGTGCTTTACTACTGGCGCTGCATGGGGCGTGGCTGCGTCTTCTCCCAGGTCGTTTTCAAATCCAAAGGTAAGAGCATCATTTGGAGTGGGACTATCTTTCATTAGTGTAATTTATACATCAAGTAAAGACACTATATCACTCTCATAATCTACCTATAACTGCACTATACATGTGTTGCTTTTCCTCAAATAACTTAATACTGTCTTTACTTTGCCCACAATATGGTTGCTTTGTTTTCCTGTAAAATAGGATTTTCTTTGAAGGAAACATCCCTTAAAGTCTCACGGAAATATCCTGTAACACGAAAGAGGCGAGCAAGTTCCTATTTTTAAATCATTTTTTTAAGTTGTTGTTTTTTTCTTCTCACAGAGTGGCACATGCCTATAATCATCAAGAGACTTGATGCACGGTACGATTGGCTCTCAGTGCGCTGGGATCATAGGACGTATCTGCTGACGGATGCAGGCGACGGGTGTGAACCTTCCCCCTCGGTGGAGGGTGCTCTGGCCTGGGTGTCTGAGGGCGGCTGCTCCTTCTTCACTAAGGTCTGATGGTTTTAGCACATCTATTTAAAACATCTGTCTTGTGTTTAATCACATCTACTTTAAAAATAAAAATAAAACATAAAATCCTTCACTCCTTCCATCCGTCTGAGAAGTGACTCAGTGCTGAAATCACAGTCATACTCCTATTCGCCGGATAAAACAAGAGGAAAAAAGGAAGTCTGCAAAGATACATTTTGCCCTTTTGTTTGTGACTTGACTTGTGGGCTTTGGCTTAGGATATAGAGTATGGTCATCCTTTAATTGCAGGGTTGGTGGTATGTAGTTAACACTATTCAACCACCAAATATTTTACAAGTGTTGCAGCTTTTTCAATGTGACGTGAATTGCTGTTTTTTTTGCTGTTCTCTACATTCATATTGAAAATCCTTGGATTAAATATTAGAGCTTTTTGGGCAAAACAAGCTTTTGAAGGAATATCCTTAACTTGGGGTAAATGCAATCTGCATTTCTCACAAACCTTTAATGAACATAATCAATAGAATAATAAACAGAGTGAAGTGATAATAAAAATAGCCCTCTGTCTCAATCCTGCTGCCTTTCATAATTTTTTTCCTCCTAACATGTTTTTGTAAACACACAGGAAGTATTGACCTTTATCTGATATGACTTCATTAACTCTGACCTTCCAGGTGCAGAGCATGACTAAATCCAACGCCTCCGGTGTCCTTGTCTACACTCTGCCCGGTAACCCGATCCAGGACATGAACTGTGTCGGGGATGAGTGCGACACGACGCTGGGCATCCCCGCTGCCATGGTGCATCTGGAGGTTTCTGTCGCCCAGGCACTCCAGTAAGGCAGAGTCACCAGGAGGATTAGACGCTTCCTCACTTTGATGATTAACAGCCTTGAACATAGATTAACTGAACACTTTAAAGGTTGAAGCAATTCTTCTCTTAAATCTGTTTGCTTCCTCTTTAATTAATGAAGCTGCTGTCACAACTTATACCAACGTTTCCAAAATAATTGATAAGCTCTTCAGGGGGAAAGTGTTATCTCCTAAAAATCATCTTTCCATATCTCTCTGGATTTGATTTATCTGCTGATTTAGGCTCATTGTAAATTGTTTGAAAGTTTGTACCATCATGTTTACATTTGACATCTTTTTTGAATTTGTCTTTTCTAGGTTTGGACAGCCGGTGTTTGTGTCCTTCCAATACACTCCGTCCCCAAACTTCTTCATCAGTATTGACCATCAGGGGCTGCTGGCTGAGATGGGCTGGTTCATTTACCCCTCATTCAGCTTCATCAACTGGCAGGCACAGTGGTAAGGACACAAATGAAGGTCTGAATGGATACATTTCATGTTTATATTCACGCAAATTATCAGAATAAGGTATCTGCACTTCAGATGATGAGGGGATTCCCTGAGGGGAAAGTGTTGAGCGGCTTTTTGAATGTCTGTTCATAAAGAGCTTGAGAATCAGGCTGGTAAACTAGGAACTGCAGACAGAGATTATTATTATTNACACGCAACTAGAACAACGATTGACGGAGCAAGGACCGGAATTTTGTTTTATTGCGGATATGAAAGGAGTGGGTCAACGTATCGCTGTGAATACAAATCCAGTGCCACAGAAAATTATTCGTCCACAGTATAGTAATCGATTTTGATCCGACCTAGACTAGTATACTGTTTTTGGCAGCTTAGATTAGACTGCCCTTCTCTTCTAGTCGACGACGACTGCTCAGCTGTGCGTCCGAGACGTACTAGTGTACGGTCGCCACTCGCCTTGTTTTGTGTGTGAAGTCAATCTTATAGTGTGCATCGATAAATTAATGAATTTTGATGGATTTGATCCAATATCTAATCAAATCAAAATGCAGCCCCCAGTGAGTAAAATGACCTAGGCGCTCGACGTACTATGACCATATTATCTAACGGGCTAGCCGTTGGTCGCACTCCGAAGTACCGGGCTCGATTTATGATCTCCGGGGCCGGTAGCCCGTCAGGAATTACAGCTCGGGACTACAGCACATCTCTTTCTCCACATTAAGTGTTACACATTAGAATTGACTACTCTTGTCTGTCACATACTCTTCTTGTCTGTCACATAAGTTGCGCAACTGAAGCGGTATTGCGCTAAAGGGAAATTATTTTGACCGGACATTTTGAGCAAAGAGATTTAGATTTGCTTGCTAACGGGAACTCTGACGTCGCCATTGTGTGTGCTTCGCGGATGCACTCGGCTGCTCGGTCAGCTTCTGGATGAGGAGGCATTCCTTCGACCAACTTACAGTAGATAAAATTACAAACATTTTTAACAGGGGCCATAATAGCGTAAATAATGTTTGTTTTGGCAGTTATAACTGAATTTAATGTTTTCTACTTTTTTACATCTGGGAAGGCATTTGCCTTCAACAGATGGAAAGTGTCTTGACCAACAACTTAAGTATTTATTAAAGCTATGCAGGGCATGCAAGCGAGCAAACACAAACAAGTGAAATGAAGAATACAATTGAAATTGTAATATTGTGGTGGTTCATCTTATAATTCAGTCTATAGAATGCACCAGACAGCATCTAAGACCTGCAAAAATCTAAATGTTCTAGGGGGAGGCCCCCCAAACCCTTCGTACGTCATTTCGTCCGCGCGCATTTTTCAGTGCAATCTCTATTGGGCTCAGGGCCATCTGTAAATTAGCTTAGATGGCCCACAGGGCCATCTCCCAAAATCCTTAATGTCATGCACTGGTTCAAAACAACTGACCCTTTTCTGCGAGACAAAATGAGCATGAAAAGTAAAAGGAATTAGGAGCATCAGTGTAAACAGTTATTGCAGCCCAAGGGGAACCTTAGCAATTTAATGACCCAAATATTTTTCCATTATGTCTTTCTGCAGCCTTGTCAAATTTTGACAAGCTGGAGCTGGATGCGTCTCTGTCGTGTCCCGGCAATAGAGACTCGTCCTGCGCTCACTGGGATCACACAGTGCAGCTGTTTGTCTGCTGCGATCCCCTCGGCCCGCACTGCAACATGGAGCTCGGTCGATGGATCACAGCCTTCCGCAGGCAAGATGCTGATAGAAAACAATCGGATGGCATGAATACAAAAGATGATCATGAAAATGACTATTCATATCTGTTCGTCACTCGTCACCGGCTTGAGCTTCAATATCAGGATACATGTATTTATTATCCTTGCAAGAATGGAAGTAGTCATCACACACAGAGCTGCAGTATACAATGTTTAGTTTAGATTAGCTAAGGCCCACGTCAGAAATGATCATGCTTGTCATATGCCTGTCTCCATAGAGGCTGAATCATCATGTTAATCATTGTCACATAGCTATCATATTCCTAAAACAGTTTGTCCTCCTGACGCTCTTCTAGGTAATCCTATATCCTGTTACGTACACGGCTACAGTTGGGCCTTTGTTATCATGGTATTGGAAGAGTACATTCAGTATTTTCCCAACAATATCAATAATCTACAACTTTTGTGGTTTGTTAAAAGAAAAGAAAACATTTATTTAGCTTCATGGTATCACAACACAATGGTATTCAATTTCTTTCAAATATGCGCATTTCCCAAAATGTCAAAGTATTCCTCTTAAATACCAGCCTGTTTTTTTCTGATATGTGTGATTTGATGGTTCTGTATTTTTTATTTTTCCAGAGGTACTGGGCGCTGGCTGACAGACGTGTCTCCTCTGATCCCCCTGCTGGACGGCAACAGGTGTACCCTCACCATGAAGACGGTCTGGTGGGCGATGCCGTGGATCGCCTCCCTCAACCTGAGGTTGAGTGTCAGCAACAAGACAGGTAGAAAGTGTCATAACACAGTGAACCTTTTAATTGTTGCTCAATCTGAGGAGTACAGAATTGTTTTTCTTACAGGATGTGGTTAGTGCAAACGGTTAGAAGGAACCGAAGGAAGGAAGCATTCGTGACTCATGATTTGTTTCAGGAACATCAAAAATCTAAAAGATTCAGTATCTTGGGCTAAAACTATGTGCATCTTGCACCTTCGTTGTCAGAACTAACACCAGCTATGTGTTTTTTTTAACACCAAACTATCAGCTCAGAGAAGATTTCATGCTCAGATCTCAACCCTCCCACTGTGACAATGGAGAGCTGCCCTCTGACATAAAATCACCACAGAGCACTTTCTATCCATTTTCTCTCTCTGCTGGATCTTTCAAAAGTAGAGCGCAGGAATCTCTCTGCAGGAAGGAACAGTCTGTTACTGGAAGATGTCTGGATAAAAGTGACAAACTTAGTTCCTGGAAATACTTTGACTCAGCTTCCTTAAAAACAGAGTGCAGCCTGTATGTTTTAGGACACGTGATGTTTTGACAGGAGTCTATTGGGCATGATTAGAAATTAGATTTTAGATTATGAATTTATTTATTTTTAAATTAAATTTGGTAAGATGCACATTTTATGCCCAAAAACATATTTCAGCACTTTACTTGTTTTAACTGTTTACATCCCAAACAAAAATGGTGTATTTACTGACTTTTGTTTTTGGAAAGCATGAGTTATTAGTAACTTGGCAGATTCAGAGTAATACAAATGTTGTCAATAAATAAATCATCATCAAAATATATTCATTTTGATAAAGATAAGACTTTGATGATTCCTTTGTGAAATGCACAAGCTACCTGTGCCAGCACAACACCAACCAAAAAACCTTACCAAAATATACACCTACTCTTCTTTAAAGTATATTTGGATGCTTATTATTTAATCTTGAATAAAGGAATGTTACTTGTAAAAGAGTATTTCTTTACTCTGTGGTTTTGCTAGATCAATACTTTATCACCTCCTAGTATTTTGTAAACATTTAAATTAAATGCAAAGCATTTTGTTTTGCAGATTATCGTGTACAGACACTCCGCCCATTCAGAGTTATGGCACTTTACAATGGGGGAACCTTTGACAAAAATTACAACAAAAGATTTAAGCCAACCGAAGTCCACATCCCAGCATCAACCAAAAAGGTAACAGATCTGATGCCGATCATTATTAACTATTTATATATTTCCTGTCCGTCAGCTGCTGTGTGTCTGTCCTCAGGTGGAGTTATACGCCATCATCACAGCTCACGGCTACGATGACAACCACTGTGGAGAATTTTGCGTCACCTCCCACAACTTCTTGATCAACAATGTTTTTAACAACACTCTCATATTCGATTCTGCCGGTAAGGAATATTTTGAGGAACATTTACTGAAGGTAGTTGACAAACTATCCTACTTTGAGTTCCATTTAAATTAATGTATTGTCCTTTTTCATATCTGTTTGGCGGGGAACCATTAGGATCACCTTTGGGCTGCACCCTGAGAGTGAAAGAGGGCGCGGTACCAAACGAGCACGGCACATGGCTGTACGGACGAGGAGGATGGTGTGATGGACTGCAGGTCGACCCCTGGAGGACGGATATCACCACACAGGTACGGCCCTTGATAAAAAAAAAAATGAACCGCTGATTCTGTATATATTTACTGAGTGTGTGTAACCTCATTGTTTCTGTCCTCTTTCAGCTGAACATGAGCGAGTTTAATTCAAACACGATTGTCTACTTTGGCTTGTTCAAAGGAAAGGATCCTAATCCATCTAAGGATCCTGGATACATCATCATGACTTCACTTCTTGTCTTTTACAAATGATGCCAATCTGGAAAACTTCAAATAATGAATGTAACACTGGATGTACGATCAAAGTCAAATATAAAAGGATTTTTTTACGGTTTTTATTACTGTATCCATTACTTTGACTCTGGTTTTATTAACTTGCTGGACCGGAGGTTATCTACAGGTTTTCAAATGATAAAAACAGCGCTCATGGAAAATATCACATACCAAGCTCTCGCCCAGCCCGGTCATTCCATTTGCATTTTATCTCAAGATGTAACCCTACGTCACCACCAAGAAGCCTTGCAGCTGAGTAGGCCCTCCATGTGCTTGTTATGCTTTAAGCTGAAGATGCATTGTTCTGAGAGCAGCCGCCTCTCCTCACTAATTACATGTAATCATGTCCAACTTGAAAGTTTGAGGTGATTCAAGTGTTTCTCAGTCATCTTCCTGCCGTTTTGTTCTTTTATTTTACGGTTCTGAACCGATTTGTGTAGCGAGGGTGGGCCAACTGCAGATATGTAATGTTTAAAAAGCAGGTTTATATCGGAAGAAAATGAATGAGAATCACATTTGAATTGGTGTTGTTTAATTTGATCATTTGCATTGAAAGACTGAATCGGAGATCTTTTAAAATGTAATTTATTTGTTAGTAGCTCACAGTTTAAGTTGAGTTATCTATTAAAAAATATAGTGAATGTGGAAATATATAGAGAAATACATTTTGTGAGGATTAAATACATTTTTTCCCCAAAGTATTACTTTAAACATAAACAAATACAATAAACTCACAACATTAAGTAACAAATACATCATTGCAACATACAAAATGGTTACTTTTTCTAAATAGAAAGGTTAGTAGTTACAAAGTTTAATTTCAGCAGAACTGTTCCACAGTATGTAAGTAACACCACAGGCATTCTTTTCTCTGTATTAGCTTAGTTTACAAAACCAATACACACATCTCTCAGGCCAAAAGGAAAACAAACATTTAAGAGTACTAATCGTACTGAAAAATGTTGAACTTCAATCAACATTTTGGGCTAATTAGGTTTAATGATGCATCTTTTATAAAGAATGGTGTTTATCTTCTCGATCAAGGTCGAAGTAGCTACAAGAAGAATACTAAGGCGCTGACTTTGAAGTGACCCTCATGGCGAAGGCAACTGTGGAGGAACAACAGAAGGTTTTATTTGTGACTGGTGATACATGGGGATGTTAGACTTTGGCGCAGGTTTCTCTGCAGCTCTTCTCAGACTCAAACTGGTTTTTGTTTCCTGAACAGCCTCCGAACCAGAATTGAGCGCAGGAATTAGCTATGGGGTCGTAGTACCACTTCACCACGTAGTCCCGGCACGGCCCTGGATCCAGCGTCTGGTTGCAGCCCTCAGCTAGACAACAAAAACAAGAAGCGGACATTTTAAGTAGACTTAAACATTATTTAGCCATGCAAAGTGTAGTGGGTTAGCAGGCAAACATTTTGACTAAATATTTGATATACAAAGTAAAACTTGAAATTAGTTTTACAGGTATAATGTTTAGACAAATTAAACATTTTTCCAGATAGTTTGGAAGAAGAAAAGTCTGCAAGCAATAGTTTTTGAGATATTTGACTTAAAACTACCACTTCCTTTACTGCCACAAATGTCAGAGAATCTCCAAGTCAGTAAGATTCATCCTCTGGGGACCATTAATGTCCGTGCAAATCAATCTACTTCGAGGAGATGCTGAGATATTTTAGTCTGGACCAAACCAAAAGACTGACATCACCACATCTAGAGCCTCACTGCTAGCAAGGCTTACTTTAAATGTGTGAGCGGCTACAGAAACATGTAAGTAACACTTTTTTAGATACAATTCAAAAATTGTATTTTTTTTATTACAGATAATTTCGGTTTATCACTTTCATGTAGATATTTGAAATGTTGACTTATCTTTTCCAAGCTAAGATAACTAGCTCCCAACTGCTATACATACGGCTACATAATAGCAAGCTTCTCATCTAACGTTTTGTGAGGATAAAAGGTTAAACTATTTATTCCTTACATTTTTGCATACTTTTCTGTTTTGAACCTTTCTTATTTCAGACGCTTGGACATTACCATTTTACGACTTGATTTGTCACATTTGAACCTATTATTTCTTCATTCTCTAATCTCTTCAGCACTTACCAGGTATGTTGGTTTCAGACAGCAGCAGTGGAGTAGTTGGAAGGATACTAGTAAACCGGGGCGGTGTCATCAGAGTTGGACCTGCCGGCCCGATAACTCCCGTCATCACCACACGTTTGGGGTCCTTCATGTCAAACTGTGGGAAGGACTCTGTGACGGGTCTGAAAGGATCCATGTCAAAGAATGGCCATCTATGAATCTCTGAGGAGCTTCTGTCGTCTGTCTTTGGTCTCTGTGGAGTGATGGGTTCTCTGTCGGGTTGTGGCACTGGAAGGCCGGGCTGTAACAGTAACGTTTTAAACCTTTATTTATCCAGGTAAGATAATACAATCATGATGTTATAACACCTGAGACGGTTCCATTTACGATATGAAAACCCTGAGACGTACTTAGACGATTTACTGAAAAGCTACCAAATGAAAAAAAACTAAAATTGTAATCATCCAATAGTTCTAGATACATTTAACTCAAACCACAATGTCCACCTCATTATAGAGCTAGAGGAAAAGTCAGAGAATCACTAAATTAATTAGGATTCATCTTCTGGGGACAATGAATTTAGGTAACAACTTTCTGCCTATTTAGTAAATATTTAGCTTTAATTAGATGAATACAGATTTTGCTGCTTTTGGCACCAGAAGAAAAGTAAAGGGATCACTAAAGTCATCAAGATGTATCCTCTGGGAACAATGAACGTCTTTATAAAAAGTAATGACCGACTTCCTAATTGTTCCCATTGATACACTAAACTGTCGTTACACAGTAGATCAAAACATTTACTGATTTATTCTCCTCACCACTATCTGAACCCTCCTGAAGTCTCCTGTGAAGGTGGGCGTGTCAGTATCCGTCCTGTATGGAGGTTCACGAACATTATCGGATAAATCGGGAATTCCTGGAGACAGTCTGGAACTCGGGACAGAGCTGAACAAATGTCTTTCTCCATCGTCCTCACAGATCTGACTCAGCAGTTCTCTCTCCAGAGCTTTAGGATCAAAAGACCAACAAAGTAAATATGAAGTAATTTACTCCTCTGTGTACTTACAGCCATAGAAGTCATTCTAATGATTATCTTAGTGTTAGTTTTCACAGACTCAAGTCCAAGTTATTGAACAAAATGTGAACTATTTGTTCTAATTTTGAACCATCTGCAGTTTATTTTAATACCAGATATATAGCACAGATGTTTCCTGCCCTCTTAGTTGAGAGGGAGGGAGCTGGAAGAGACAATTGAGTGAGATTCAACTCGTTTGAGCACTTTTCCACTTTAAAACATTTTTTTAACAAATCACTGTTCTTTGTAGACCTATGGTTCTAATTTGATAACACGGATTGCTTACCATGAAGTGTTTTGAATTCATTGATCAGGTACACGTGGTTGCTGTCGGGGTCAGAGGCCATGAGATTGATCTCCTTTTTGAACTCCTCATACAGAGGGTCGCTCTCATTCACCAAGCCGATCACAAACATCTCGATGTCACTCCCATGAGCTTCTGATACCGCACTCTTCAGACTGACTTTGTCTCTTTTATCGGCCTGCCCGTCGGTGATGATGATGGCCATCTTCCTCACACCTGCCCGCGCACTCTTGAATAACTGGTTGGCCTGTTTAATGGCACTACCTGTGAACGTTCCCTCGCCCAGGTAGGTCATGGAGCGCACCGCAGACTTGATCTCATCACGAGTGGCTTCCTGTCTGAGGTTGACCACCACCATGTTGATGTGGCTGTAGACGACAACACCCACCCGTGTGGTGTCCCGGCTGACAGAGGCTCGGTCGATTAGGGAGTTTACAAAGTCTTTGACCAGGTTGAAGTTGTCAGGGCCCACACTCTCAGAGCTGTCGATCACAAAAATCAGCTCCAAGGGGGCTTTGCGGCATGTAACTCCACAACCTAATGAAACAGCAACAGGTTATAGACACGTGGACATAAAGGATTGACAACAATGCAGCTTCTGATTACTTACTGCATATGGATCTCACGATTTTGATGATATCTTCCCTCTGTGAAAGAAAGAAAGAAAGTGCAATACTTGTAATACAAACTTAATTGTCTCTGAGTTACAGTAAAGACATTAGCTTCTTCTTGCTTTCACCTTTAATGTAAGGATGTTTGAATCGAAATCCGTTTGAAAAAAATTGAGACCACCTTCAAACATCCATTCATTTTTTTTACGCTTATCCAGAGTTGGGTTGCGGTGGCAGCAGGCTAAGCTAATTAGTCCAGTCGTCCACTTTCACTTCACAAACCAGATAATATATAAAAACCATTCAGCATGTTCTGGGTCCGCCCCGGGTTCTACTACCAGTTTGGCATGCCTGTAAAATCTCCAAAGGAAGGCGACCACAAGTCATAAGTCCTGATAAGCATGCATACTGATACGTTACCAGAACCACCTCAACCAGCTTCTTTTTACTTTATGCTTCCTTCAAATGTCTGATCCCCTGTCTTACCTCAATAATACGCCTACTACCCTCAGAGACCCTTCAACTTCAAATGATGAGTATCCCCTAATATTGTGTATTCTATAAAATAAATGGCGAAGACTCGTCCATGTTCATCGGATGTGGATATGAATACTTTCAAATTAAAATACACTAACCTTAACCCTGTATACACACATTACCTAAAACCAGATGGTTGACATGTATGGCTCCGTTTGAAAAGAAACAAAAACAAAGCTATGTCCCGATATTCTAAAATGAGTGGTGCACTTTACTTACTGTAAGTCCAGGATCTCCCTTTTGTCCAGCTCTACCCTGTGATTTCAAAAAGATTGACATTTTTTAGCTGTTCACATATTGAGTAATTTCATGAGGGCTTAAATCTTTTTAGGAATCTGATCCCTCCCATTACCATAGGTCCACTGACTCCGTGCTCTCCAGGTCCTCCTCCGTCTCCCCTGATGCCTTTCTCACCTCTGAACCCTCGATCCCCCTGCAAGAGGAAAGAAACATTATCTTGAATCACACAGTAGGGCTGTGATTGAAAGGGATATCCCATCCTGTCAACAGCATGTTGTATGCTTTCTGTATGCATCTTACTAGATATATTTTCTAAGTGATGCCGTTTTGTTTCCCATTTGTTTGAAGCCTCTCAAATAACACGTTTAGTTTTAATTTCATGCAGATTTTCATTTTTGCTAGGTCTACTGTCACTTTGTGTGTTCATAATAGAGTTGCTGACATTATATTGTTACCTTGTCCCCCTGCAGACCTTGTCCAGGAGGACCCCTGGGTCCAGCGATTCCATGAAATCCTGTCTCCCCCTGCAGAAAGAGAGAGATAGTCAGTGTCAAGGAGAACTCATGTATAGAGTCAAATTGAACTAAAGGAAAGTTTCTTCTTGAGTTTTTTTTTTTTTCTTCTCACATGAGTCTGGTTTCCTAGACTTAATGGGTTTCTACTAAACGAGGCAGCAAAGAAAATATATTCCTATTCATAAACGGATGGATAAAATGCAGGATCTGTTTGGTATATTGAAAAATAAAACGTATAAATATACCTTATATACACTGAACAAAAATATAAATGCAACACTTTTGTTTTTGCTCCCATTTTTCATGAGATGAACTCAAAGATCTAAAACATTTTCTATATACACAAAATAACCATTTCTCTCAAATGTTGTTCACAAATCTGAAAAAATCTGTGATAGTGAGCACTTCTCCTTTGCCGAGATAATCCATCCCGCCTCACAGGTGTGGCATATCAAGATGTTGATTAGACAGCATGATTATTGCACAGGTGTGCCTTAGGCTGGCCACAATAAAAGGCCACTCTGAAACGTGCAGTTTTGCTTTATTGGGGGGGTCTGGGGGGGTCCGAAAACCCTAGGGTTAAACCCTAACCCTAACTCCTAAATGGGAGCAAAAACAAAAGTGTTGCATTTATATTTTTGTTCAGTGTAGGTATGGCCCTACAATATATTATTCAAATATAGCATGATAGGTCCACTTTAACATAACTTAATACAGCTAGGTGATAATCAAACATTTAACATCTGGTAGCTGAAAATGTTACCTTTTCTCCTTGGATGCCCTCTCCAGGTAACCCCTGTGCACCAGGCGGTCCCCTTTGGCCAACTGAACCCTGCAAAATAAAGCAACTGTGTCTCTCTGTATTTAAAGGGAAATATAATCACATGCAATCCATTATTTCGAACAGGACAGATTACCTTGGGACCAATTAGGGTAATTCCTGGTGGTCCAGTGGGTCCAGGAGGTCCAGACAAGCCTCTATCTCCCTGAACAGAAAATGGATTGATAACATTTATAGATATCTTTCAATAATCACAGTAATCTAATCTCAGATAAATGGAAAAGAAAACCTGCTTGGAAAATATCAGGCTCATACATTTAAGAGTAACATTTTACCAAAATTGATCTTTTGACCCCCTCATGTCACCCCATCCTGACAATATTTGCGGAATAGTATAAAACGACAAGATCTTAATAAACCCAGCAAAAAAGTTAAAAGCTAAACTAGTACGACTGTGAATAAAATACCATACCACAATGTCAAGAGAATTTTAATTAACGGAAATTAACGATAATGTAATTAATGACCTATTTTATGTTAATCGTTACCTTTGGTCCAGGTAGACCTACGCCATCTGATCCGGTCTCTCCTGTCAGACCAAGGGGCCCCAGAAGTCCCTTAATAAGACATTGTGTCAAATAAATGAAATATTGCTGAGTGTGAAGTGTTAAAAGAGGGACTGTGGTGTGTTGATACTCACTGGAGGGCCGGGGTAACCGTCACCTTTAAGTCCAGGTATCCCAGCAGGCCCTGCAGGCCCTTTGTCCCCCTACAAACCAAACGGTGCCACTGTTATATTTATACTTTTCTTAAGAGGATCAGTGAAGGAAACCTGAGCTCACCTTGGGTCCAGGGAAACCCCTTCCCGTCTCTCCCACAGCTCCAACTGGACCACGTAGTCCCGGTTGTCCCTGAAATAACCAGAGGTAGATTGAATTGATCAAAGCTGTTGACAGTTACAGTTGTAGATATCTTGAATCAGAACTTGCCATGTTTACAGTATTGTTGTTTCATATTTAAATAAATGACTTACTGTGTGGAACTATGGGGCAAAAGATACAAAACTAACACCCAAGAGCTATACGAATTGTTCTTCAATCATATTATCGCAAACTAAACAACATACTGTTTATTTATTAAATGAAATAGATAAACAGTACGTAGAATTTAGGGGAATATAATATAATTAACAGATTTTTTACTTTAAACTAAATAAGGTGGTAAGCACCTAAAACTGAGGTTTTGTATATGTGTTATTATTGTATAAAAGTTTAGAACACTTTATACATAATAATGTATGCCCCTTTGGTTGTGAAGCGTAATAAAAGGTTTTGTGTGGAAAAAAAGAAAGGTGTATAAACCTTTCACACTACACATTTCTGGTCAATATTTGTTCCCTTTAATTACATTTCTTTGTTATTAGAGTATTCCTTTCGTGAAATGTGTTAAAGACCAAAATGTATTTCTACTATTACTGCAGCTGTTTGTTTGCACCACATAGACTTTACCTTCTCTCCAGCTACACCCCTCCCTGGTGGTCCTGTTGCCCCTGGTGGCCCCATCTTTCCGGGATCCCCCTAAAAAGGAAACATTTGACTTGAAATTGACAAGGGAACATGGGAATCAGACATGTGCAGTCAATTTGTTATTTACTGCTTTGTATTATAATCTATACATCATATATATATTTTATTTGTTGATCATATATTTTAATTATGATCAACATTGCTCAAGTTATTCTTTAAATAAATGTTTTTCGAGCAAAACATACAATGTTTCCCTCTGAAAAGTTACTAGAAAGCAGCTGAACATATAAATATTAAATACAATGTTATATGTAAGGTGCTCAAAATTGAACTTGGGTGAACTTACTTCTTGCCACTGTATGTTTTCACTTATTGGAAGAGATGTGGCAGCATTATTCGAAATTCGGAACACTATTCAAAAATGTTATAAGACATTTTATTTATTATTCTTACCTTTGACCCGATTGGCCCCACAGGACCGACTGCACCTGACAGTCCTCTGCTCCCTCTGTCCCCTCTGTCCCCCTGCCAAAATAACTCAATCATCAACTTTGAGTTAAGCTTTAGGTGATCATATCATTTAAGATCGTTGAATCATAATATCTGTAAATCACAGAAAAACGTTCTATACACATTAACTGTGATTCTGTTACCTTCCCTCCAGGAGTGCCTTTACCAGGAGCCCCGTCAGGTCCCCTGGGCCCCGGTAACCCAACGTCCCCCTGCCGTCATTTAGAAACAGACAATGAAGCAAAGACTGGTAAGAAATATTGATGTATTATGTACTCTAATTACGTGGAGGTGTGTGGTGCAGTGGGTAGAGCGTTGGTGTTCGGATCAGGGGAGCACAGGTTCAAACCCTGTTGCAGTCAGCATGTCGTTGTGTCCCTGGGCAAGACACTTCACCCCAAATTGCTCCTGTGGGGATTGCCCACAGTATTGAGTATGTAAGTCGCTTTGGATAAAAGCGTCTAACAAGTAACATGTAATGTAATGTAGGCCTATGTGCACAAGAGAAAACATGTTTAGGTTTAATGTCACCTTTTGTCCTGGGGCTCCATCCTCTGCTGGCTCACCTGGTATACCTGGTGGCCCCTCGGACCCCGGGTCACCCTGAGAGAGGAAGGGGAGGAGCAAGTGCATTTGAGGATATGGAACAAAAGTATGAAAGCAATATTAAAATGACCAGTTTATTTAGAAAGTCACTTTTGGATAACATTGGACCGGGCTTCTAGCTCTAGCTTCGTATTGTATTAAGCAAACACATATGAAAGTGGAATCAATCTTCCTGTCTAACTCCCAGCAAGAACGCATATTAGAAAAAATGGCACACTGGCATATACGGTACTGTATAGAATGATGAGAAAGTAGTGTGATACATTTTAGAGGACTTACTTTGGGTCCTGGTTGTCCAACACCTCGTTCACCTGTCAGTCCAGGCTCACCTGGGAGTCCCTGATTGCCCTGAAAACCCCCAAGGACAAATGTATTCAACTAAATATTCACAAATTGCATCATGAAACTCGCCTGCATTTGATTGACAAGCCAGCTGGGAGTCGCAGGCATATTTATTAGATCAAATATTCAAAACGATTTAGATGCAATCAGGAGGGGAAATCAGCGACTGTCAATCACAATTAGCATCTGAGTTTCTGTTTCTGAAACGTTATAGTCGTTCAAGGAAGCCCCCCCCCTCGTTTTGTCTTACCTTTGTTCCTGTTATTCCGATACCTTGAGCTCCTCTGGGGCCTGCAGGTCCAACTGGGCCTTGATCCCCCTGCATTTAATAGTATGTCAATATTATTACTGAACGTATGAAAAGTCAAGGTATTCAGTGAAATATCCCCTGTTACTGTCCAGTATAACCATGCATCTCTCAAAAGAGATAGAGACAAAAACAGCCCTGTTTTCGGCTTTGAGACAATGCATTTTCAAGCTGATATAAAAGTTTTCTAATCAGTTTTTTTTTATTTAAAGGTGTGAATTATTTTCTTAACCTAACAGTTTGACATGCATTAATGTAACTTGTACCTTTTCTCCTTGATTTCCTAAACCAGGAGCACCAACTGGACCTAGAAACCCAGGCGGCCCGTAACCTCCCTGAAAAAAGATGATTATATTCAAGAGATGCAGTGATCTATGAGACCTGGGTGAGTACTCGAAGTATAGTTAATGTTGCAGGATCCGCATACATTTTCATCACGTTGAGTAAACAAATAAGACATTTATACCTTGTCGCCTTTAACCCCAATGCCAGCAAGCCCGCGATTTCCTCTGGGACCCTCATATCCTCGATCCCCCTGAAACAAAAGTTTGAAAATGTGACGTACTGTAGACACAATCTTCCATAAGCTTCACACGTGTGCAGCATGTTTCATATGTGACGTTATGAAAAAGCCAATAATGTAAATTCCTAAGCAATTACACAATGTTTTTCAGCAATCAGTGACACGTGTTCTGGTTGTGATTTATGTAATTCATTCTCTTTTGCTATGCACCTGCAATAAATATAAAGAGATGCAACTGCACAGAGGTTATAGCGTTCCTTCACTCCCATTTCAAAATGCAGAATGATACCGTCTATTTCAACCCCTCTTCTGAATAAAAGAAGACATAATAAAAATACCATAAGAAAATATGAAAAAGCAATTATAGTACACAGACAAGGTATTATATACTAATAAAAATAAGTACTGACCATAACCTTTTTGCAGGAATGTGCCTTGGTATTTTGTCGCATAAAAGTCAATATGAACAAAATGAAATCAAGAATCATAAATATCAAAAAGATGAAAAACTTAAAACATATATCTTGAAATGTATCTATTTTAAAATAGAAAAAGCTGTGCAGTGTTTAAAATGAAGAGGATGGAATGTGTTAAACATATTAAGTAAAGAATATTCAATTGTTTACAACCAAATCATTTGCATGAATTCAAGCCCTGTATGGTGGGCCCCTTTAACTCAATGTAACCATTAATTCAAATGTTACTTCAAATTGCAGTAGATAGTAAGAATGACAAGTATGTCCTATCTGCACATTATTGAGAACCATTGGTTCGGTCAATACAAAACTTAACCCACCTTCGGCCCTGGAAGCCCCTCGCCCGTTGGTCCTGGGATTCCTTGCACTCCGGCTGGTCCTGGTGGACCCTGGAATAAAAAAACAACTTTGAATAAAAGTCTTAAGATGTGAAGGCCTCAATAAATACCAACATCCAACATAGATTTGGTTCAACACAAGACAGAGTGAAGGTGCGCTCTTGAACAACTATTCATTTTGTGTCCTCCAGGTGGCAGCATGGAGTTGAATTGTGTTCAAAATTTAAATTCCCAGCATATTTGGATGTGAGGAAAGTGCTCTGAACTTGCTCATGTGTGCTTATGTTTGACAACTTGGAAACTTTTAAATGATGCGTAATAACAAAGGAAAACAGATGGAAAAACAATCTTATATATACGTGATTTATCTTCTTCGCTCTTCAGGATAAAGTTTCTATTCAGATCTTTCATTTTCAACATAAAAACTACTCTCTGTGGTGGAAGGTTACAATACATGCAATTTCACTGTACCTTTACTTTGCTTGAGTTTTTCCATGTTATGCTTCTTTATTTCAGGGGGAAAGGTTTGAAGCTTCACTACATTTCTCCGGAAACTGAAATTACTATTTGCTTTGAATTCTCTTATTAAAACAACACATGAGATCAGTTTATAAAGTTTGAAGCATTGTTATAGATCTAACTGTCCAACAGTGTATAATTAAGTAAAAATGAACTCCACCTCAACAAGATGTGCTTATGCGTCAATGCGTAAGTAATATTACTCCATTACACATATGTATATATATAACTCTCTCAAAAGAGAAACTCTCTCTGCCTAATGAGGATTATTACTTTTGATTAACCTTTTTGTGATGACAGCCTAATTGTGGCCTATACTAAAGTACATTTGAAAGTTGTAAAAGAGTATTTATACAAAGTGTTATCCTATCAAGACACTGTTATGCATAGAATGGGCATTAAAGCCATTTACACACCTTGATGTGTCGGTACAATAATACGATTATTTTCATACTCACTGGTAGTCCTGGTTCTCCTATCCCAACAGGACCTGAAGGACCTGATCTTCCCTGAAGGCCTTTTTCACCCTGTAAGCATTACACAGCACAACTCAACAACTTTCAACACTCTAAACATGTCAAAACGTTCTTCAGTAAATTATTAAAAAGTGATATGATTTATTGAATCTCTGGCCCTTATTCAGGGGCGGACTGGGACTACAAATCAGCCAGGGACTCTCGGCCGGCCCACCTCGGTACTGCAAGTAAATACCGCTAGTAAATTGTCGACGGGGGGTGGGGG